GGGAGGGAGGGAGGGGGAGAGAGAGAGAGAGAGAGAGAGAGAGAAAAGAAATCCTAATTTATCACGCTGGGTTTGGGGTGGAGTTTGTATGGGCGGTAGGGTGCCTAGCAGGCGCTGATTGGGGAAAGCTTGGGGCGCGCGAAAAGCAAGAGGAAGTCCGCGGTTAACCAGAGGGAAGAAGACGAAAGTCAGTCTAGGAGCGGCTTGTCATTGGTTTTGGGATTCTTCACGCCGTGATGACCCGGTGGACCGGTGCATGGGCGCAGACCTATCATTTTCCCTCCTCAAACGCCAGCTAAGGGGGGCAGGGACGGTGGGGTTTGCAGGTCATAAGGCTGCCTGCTCGCGCTCTCCTGGAATGCACACAGCTGGCTGCCTGCGGGGCTGGGAGGATTTTGGGGGCGCGGTGCTGGTACTGGGGGTGGCCTACCTACCATTAGCGGCCACCTCGTCGCTCGGCTGGCGCCCAGCAACGCGGGCTGCGGGTCTAAGCTCAGGAACAAGGGCCGGCCAGGTGGGTAGGGAATCCGGTCTAGGGTCACCAGCGGGCCCCGAGGAGAACTGTGGGCTCCAACCCAAGCCCACCTCGCCCGGCTCTTGGAGGACCGTACTTCCTCGGCAGGCGTAGTACAGGGTTGGATCCCACTAAATTCCTGGTTTGTGGGCCTCCGCTGATTGGACGCGGGACGCACGCTAAGCCAGAACGGTCAATGAAGTACGTTGTACTACGAGAACCAGAATGCAGTGCGCCCAGAAGTGCCTCCCCTCGGTGCACGCTGGGACTTGTAGTCAGCAGGGTAGATCGCGCAGTGCGCCCTGGGATATGTGGTCTGTGGGCCAGGAGGGCAGGCGGCCTGGTGCATGCCGGGACCGGTAGTCGGCCCCCGGGCCTGGTGCTCACCTGGTCCGCGGCTGGGGCCGGGGGAGCCAATGGGAGAGGCAGCCGGTCCGCCCGCCCCGCCCCGCGCCTCGGGACGTCAGTGCCCGGACATGGCCGCGGCCGGTGCGGGGTCTTTGAGCTGAACGCCTGTTCCCAGCCGCTGACCTCCGCCGTCACCATCGCCGGCCGGGCCCAGGCGCTTCCGGGACAGCGAAGAGCGGCGGAGCAGGGATAGGAGGAGGCCGTTGCCGGGGGCCGCCGCAGCTGGCGCATGGCGTCCATCTTGCTGAGGAGCTGCCGCGGCCGGGCGCCCGCCCGTCTGCCGCCGCCCCGCGCCGCCGTTCCGCAAGGTAAGGGCCGCCGAGTCGGTGCTGGGTCGGCCGCCGAGGTCCCCCTCGCTGCCAAGCTTGCGCCGCTCCGGGACGGGCCCCAGAGGGCGCCCGGTTCCGCGAGGAGAGAGGGTGCGGGCGCGGACCTCGGGCGGCTCCCTGGGCGCTGCCGGCGCGAGGGCATTGCCTCCGTGGTCCCTCCCCGCGTGGCCCGCTCTTCCCCCGCGTGCCCGGTCCTCTCCGCCGGTCCCCGCGTGCCCGGTCCTCCTCCCTGCCGGGTGTCAGCAGGTTGGCCCGGCCCGTCCTGGCAGGCCCTGGCCGCGCTCGCCGCGCCCGTTTTCTGCCCTTCGTGGCCCAGGCGTGCCCGCTGCTCCTGCTCTGTGAGGCTGTGGGCACAGCGTGTGAGGCCGGGCCCGGGCCACACGCTGGCGCTGTGACCTCCGTCTCTGGGTCACCCCAGGTCACTGAGGGTTTGGGAGAGTTCCGCAGGGCGGGGACAGCCCTGGCACTGCCTTCCCTGACGAAGTAGCACCCGAGAGCAGGGCGCAGGAGTGCCCGCTGGTCCCACGGAGGCGAGTCAGAAGCCGGACGGGGACAGTCCTTGATCCCGGGACGAGGGGGCTTGCTGGCGGAGGGGCTTGCTGGTAGCTCAGTTGTTGAAGCGCCTGCTGGGACAAACCAGGTCAGGCGCAGAGGACCACGTTCGACCCCCAGCTCCCCAGAGCCCCATGCCTTACCAGACCCGCCCTTAAAGGCAGCCTGAGCCAGAAAAAAAAGAAGAAAAGAAAAATCCTTGTTCCTAGGTTGAGGGCACAGGTTTTCCCGTTTTTACACTCCCAACTCAGACTAGGGACCTGCATCTTCAGCGACTCTTCTGAGTAATGCTGAGCAAAAGGTGAGAGCCCAGGCATTGCCCCTAGCCTTGGCTTTACAAAAACCCTAGAAGCTCAGGTCTTGGCTAGGCGTGAGTGGGTACCAGGTCAGGGCCCAGTGGGGTCCGGGCAGCGTCGAGGCCTGCTCTGCTAGGAGAGCTCTCTGTACCAGCTCACTTTGTAGCCAGGCTGGTCTCCTGCCTCAACGGTCCTTCTGCCTCAGCCTCCTGAGTGCTGGAATTACAGGCATGTGCCACTGTGCTTGGCTTTCTCTACCGGTTGATGGCCCTGAAGTACTTCTCCACTTCTCATTTTTATAGTGTGTTTATGGCTTTTAACTTTAGCTGGGTCAGCCAGGTGTGGCGGCACACACCCATAATCCTAACGCTGAGGCCAGATTGTCCCAAATTTGAGATGGTGAGTTCAAAGCCAGCCTGAACTGAATAGTGAGATTGTGTTTCCAAAAATAAAGTTAGCAGCACTGGTTGTGGGCCCCGCCCCCAAGGGCTGCTGAGACAATTAGACTGGGCCTGGTGGCGGGGCCCCTGTAATCCCAGCTCTTGGGAGGTTATAAACAGGTGGATCATTACAAGTTGGATCTAGTAGTAAGACCCTGAATACCCTGTAGACACTTCCCTAAAACACACACAAAAAAAGTTATCTTGTTTTAGTGGTCTGCTGGGAATAGTGTGCTATTTGTAGTTGTTAGACACCACAGGGTATGTGGTGCTTAGACGGTTGCTTTGCTGTGGGACCAGCAGGGGGTTCAGAGCTCAAGGCTACCTGGCATTGGGTCCCCATCAGGAGCACCCCAACTTAGTGCCATTCCTTCTCACAGCAAGCTATATTCCACCTATTCCCTGTTTTATTTTGCACATACTTTACCCTGATGTCCTGTCTGTCCCTGGACTCATTCAGGACATGACATAGTAGTTAGTCCTCATGGCCCCTTGGGTTGTAGCAGTTCCTTGGACTGCTCTAGTTTTCCCATGATTCTAACAGTTTTGAGGGGTGGATATTGGAGGGTGCTTTTCTGTTGGTGTTTATTGACATTTGTCTCAATTTTGAGGGGGACCATGGGTTTTGGGGGGGAATTGGGTCACAGGTGAAGTGGCTAAACTGACTTCTTTGAAACTGTGATGAATTCTTTCTTATCACATCCTATCAAGGCTCCACTGTGAGATTTGCCAGCGCTGATATGAGCTTGACCCCAGGCTTCTCACCGTACAGTTGCTTTCCTGTCCTCTCCACACAGTGCTCTCGGGAGGAAATCGCTGTGGTAGAAGTGGCTGTCCAAGCCCCTGAGCTGTGGTGCCTGGTAGAAGTGTGCATGGCTGGCTTGAGGCCAAGTCCTCCAAGCTGTCAGAAGCACCAGGCTGGACAGGCCTGTGGGTTGTGCAGCCCAGCCAGGGAAGGGGCTGAAGAAGGGAGAAGTGGGAACCCCTGTGGAGATTCTGCTGGGGAGCTCTGTCTCCGTGTATTGTAGTACGGTCTGGGACACAGTGAGTTCACAGCCAGCCTGAACCTTGTAGCAAGACCCACTCCCCATCCTCCTCACCTCTGTCTCAGAAAAAAGGTGCATCATCCCAAGGGGTGTACTTGGCCTTTGTTCCTGTTCCTGGCACTGAGCCCCAGATCCCTTAGAGTGACAGGTTCTAGACTGACTCAGGTAGATCCAACCCTGCGAGATTGGGGTTGGAATTCTGTCCCCAGACTCTGAGAGGGAAGAGTGTGCAGAGGACTCCAGGTGTGTCAGCACTGTGCTGGGCCTTGGGAAGGGGCCTGGTTGCCCAGGGCACCCCCACTTAAGCTGCCCGCCTGTGCTGTGATGTTTAGCAGATTCTGTGGGTCTTTCTAGCAAATTATCAAAGGTGAGGGGTCATGGGAGCCTCCAGATTGGCAGTCAGTGTTAGTGAAGGCCGTGTGGACACCACCTGGGCACTTAGGAGTGTGCCCTCCCTATTGGCCTGTATCTTCCTAGGCTGTCTGCTTTCTGGGGCAGCCAGGGTGCCTGGGCTGGAGGAAGTCCTGGCCCTCTTTGGCTGGAGAAAGGGCCAGGAAAGGCTCCTGTGAGCTCTGGAGTGTTCATTTAGCTGCTACACTTGATGCTGGTAAGAATGTAGCTAAACTGACCCCTTTGAAGACAACATTAAATCCTGGGCCTTAGCTCTGAGCTCTATCCCCTGGGCCTTAGCTCTGAGCTATGTATCCTTCCTAAACTTTTTTATCTCACTAAATTGACCAGGCTGGGTTTGAACTTGAGCTCCTCCTGCATTAGCCTTTCAGTGCTGGGGTGCCAGGCACGTGCCACCCTGCCCTACTGTAGCTAGTGTCTTTATGTTATGAATTGTGAGTGGTGGTGACCCATCCTCCACTTACTAAGCAGACTGTCCTGGTGCCAAAAATCCCTAAATGGAAGCAGAAGTGGGAGGATTGTTCTCTGTTAATGACATGAAGTGTAGGGATCTCTGGGTCTCTCGGTGTGATCTCACGTGCCCCTGGGAGAAATAGCTGCAGGAATGAATAAAAGGTAAGACAAGACAAGAGCTAGGTCCAGTGGTGGCGGGTCTGCCTGATTGGCAAGTTCACCCCCAGCACCACAGTAGGGACATTTATTTATACCTTTGCAGAGTTACATTGCCCAGCAACTAATAGCCCACAATGTCCAGCAGGATGTTCTTCTCAAGACTGAGGTAGCTTGACTGCTTTAGGCAATGAGCCTCATTCTGCCCTCCCACATATAATCGATTTCCAGCTTTAGGGGCTCCCGATAGTGAAGTGACTCTCCACTATCCTCATTGCTGCCCTACTGGCCACCTGATGGGTGCCTGCACATCCCCAGCTGGGCAATGCAGTGAGCCATCTCTGGGCTTGGCCTGCCCTGCTTGCTGACCAGGATGCACTTGTTGGCTGCTCCCTGGAGTCTTCCAACATGGAACAGGCTTCAGATGCCCCCTGGGGACTTCTGCAAGAGGATCCCCTGCTCATGCAGACTTGAGAGCTGCCCAGCAGAGCACCATTTACTCACTGTGTCTTTGTTTCTGTCACAGGTAGTCTGGGGCATGGAGCTTGTCTCAGTTGTGCCGGCACCATGGGGTTGATAAACCGTGTGTAAGTAAATCCAGCCCTTTGCCCATGTCCACTGGAGGAGGCTGCACTTGGTCCTGCTTGCTTGCTCTTGTTTCTTTTAAACCTGTGCTTTGGCACTGTGACTGGTATAATTACTGTATTAATAAATATTTTTAAAAAGTGCTCCTAATTGTGGTACCAGGTACATGCATGCCCAGCGCTTAGCACTTTTGTGACTCTGTGTCTGTTTTCAGCGCAGTTGGAACCCCAGCTCATGCAGTGCTGTTGTCTTAGTGGGACCCATCTTTCCAGTGTCCCCTGCTGCTTTGCCATGATGGTGCGCACAGCTGCTAGGCCATGTCATTGTTGGGCCTTGGGGGATCCAAGTGTGGGTACAGAGCAGACCCGGGCTCCCATCCCCCGAGTGCACTTCCCTTTGGCAGTGATTGGCGCCTTTTGACAGTGTCCAGAGAGGGGCCAGTACAGAAGGGCTTACTGGCAGAAGCACATGCCCCTCAAGTTGTTCCCGCATTCCCCTCCACACTGTTGCTACTGGCGGCAGTCTGACGCCTCTCCTGGCCTCATCCCCCTTCCATGTCCTTGCTGCTCATGGGAAGGTCTTCCACTCCTTAGAGCTGTGGAGTTGACAATTTTTCATGTCTGTTAAAGTCTGTAAAGCTGTCTTTTTTCAGCTGTAATGGACCCAGCAAGGCTTCCTGAGACAGATTTAACTCCCTACAATAAAAACTTGAGCCACACGTGAAAACTCGTTTTAAGGTGTGCTGTCTGTGTCCGGCTTCACCAGGTGCTGGGTGAGGAGCTGGACGTTGGTACTTTGTGAGTGAGCGCGAGCAGTGTTTCTGTGGTGGGGTTGCTGCTGGTGCACGGCCCTTGCTGAGGTGCTGGCAGCAGGCCGAGCTGGCGTTACGCCCCAGCTGGGCCTCTCACCCTGCCTGTGCTCCAGCAGCCTCCAGGCTGTCAGGAAGGCTGTGTGCCCACCAAATACCTGATGTTAGCTGTCTGGGTTACACTTGGGAGGGGTCATAGGTCAGTTGAGCTCCTGGACTCTGCACAGGGAGTAGTCTGGAGAATGCTTTGTCTGCATGGACCCACCCAGGGGTGGGGTGGGCACCCTGCCCTGCCTGCCCAGGCAGCTATCTGTCCTTCTCTAGGCAGGTGGCTCTGTCCAGCACTGACCCCTGCCATCTGCTGTATTCCCGAGTTCTCTCACCCTGCCTTGGGGACCTGGTGCCCAGTGTATTTCCAGCTTCCTCTGGCCTTGAAGTCACTACGTAGCCCAGGCTGGGAACTCGGAGCGGTTCTTTTGCCCTAGCCACCAAGAGCTGGAATTACAGAGGTGTGCCCCCTACAACCATCTTTAAAGTGTTCCTATTCTGAGTGGATGTTGGATTGGTGGAGTTCCTTTTAAGCATTTTAGATTTGTCAGAACATAAAAGCTGTGCTTGTCATAGTATAGTGTTTTTTGTTTGTTTGCTTTTATAAATTTGCCATCTTGGATATTATAAACCATGAGAATGGTAAAGCAGTTTTTTGTTTATGTATTTAGCACAGGGTCTCGCTACACAGCTCAGACTCATAGTGATCCTCCTGTTTTCGGCCTCCCAAGTGCTGGGATACAGGCGAGTGCAGCCACACCCAGCCTTAGTCACTGTCTCATCTGGCACCCGGGGATCAAACCCTGGTCCCTGTATCTACCTAAGCAGGCACTGTAATCTGCTGAGCTGTCTGGCCGGCCCTGGTAAAGCAGTTTTGATTAACTCATGCACCTCAACGCTTATTATTTGGCAGTACTATGAATTGAACCCAGAGTCTTCACACTGAGTACATTCCTACTGGGTAAGCTGGCCAGGCTAAGCTCAGACTTGTGACCTTCCGGCCTCAGACTCCTTGAGTGCTGGCAAGTACCTTTATACTTGGCTAGGGGCCAGGGAGATAACTCGGTAGAATAAATCCCTGGTACCACAAAAAAAGTCCCCCTGATACTTGCTACAGTGAGGACCAGTCAGGTTTTCCACACCGTGTATGAAGCACCCTAAGCACGCATAGCAGTGCTGCACTTGGTGGCCATCAGCTCTGTATCTGAGTCATTTCAGGGCCGTGGGTGATCTGTGCAATGGCCCAGGCCCCTGGCCATGGGGTGGTTTTTTATTTATGTGTGTGCGTGTGTGTGTGCGTGCATGCGTGGCCAGCTCAGCCCACCAGGGGGCGGTGCTGGCTGGCATGCGGTGCTGGGGGACTGAACCGCGGTCCCTGTGCTTTGCTTTGCTCAAGCTTGTTCTAAGTAGGTGCTTTAGACCACTGAGTCATCCCACCAGCCCCCATGGGGTGGTTTTGACTGGAGACAAATCATAGATGGCTTCTAGCAGCTTTTGGCCTTATTTATCATAAAGGCCAAAGGCAGCACCTGGCCCTGGAGGGCAGGGAGGCCGAGGTGCCAGGGAGCCAGCTGTGCGCCTCGCGGGAGGCCTCCGTGTGCCCAGCCCCAGCCAGTGTGGAGGGAGGGCTGTTGCGTGTGTTCAGAGCACCCGGGCGAGTGCAGAGCCACTGCCCAGGTGCTGGCGACTTAGTTTCTGCTGAGAGTATGAGACGAATGTTGGCACACACATCCAGAATCCCTTCCTCTCCCTCCTGCTAGTGGTGGTTGCTGTTACTGTGCCGCTCCTCTTGTTGCTCCTTTTGTCACCAGGATAGTGTGGGCGGTGCATGTAGTGTTCTGGTTGATGTCCTCTTTGGCTTGGCGTGTGTCATCACTTGGCCTGCTTGTGCCTGTCTGTGAAAGGAGATTTGGACACCTGGGAAGCTGTGCTGTTGGGGCCTCCTGAGGTGTTGTACCCATGGCACTTGCGTGTTGTTGATAAGGATCTGAGCACACACAGGGGTAGAAGAGTAGGCTTGAATGACCCACCCCATCCCTGCCTGCTTCCAGCCATGCAGCTGATGTGGTGAGGCTCCTTTGCAAGCACCACTTATCTTTCCCCAGCGTTGGGTGACAGTAGGATGTCCAGGTGGCCATTGGCATCAGTGTCCTCAAGTAAACAGCTTTGCAATTGTGCAGATTTCTTCATGTAGCCAGCCTGACCACCTGGCAGGAGGGTATTTTTTGTTGCATTGTCACTTTTTTTTTAAATTAATTTATTTATTTATTCATTTTACATTTATTTATTGTATGTGTGGCCAGCTCAGCCGCCAGGGGGCGGGGCTGGCTGGCATGTGGTGCTGGGGGATCGAACCGTGGTCCCTGTGCTTTGCTAAGCTTGTTCCAAGTAGGTGCTTTAGACCACTGAGCCATCTCACCAGCCCCTGCATTGTCACTTTTGATAAGTGGGATTTTCCCCCATTTTGCAAGTTATGTGTCAAAAAAGAAAATGAAAGGGCCAGCCAAATAGCTCAGTGGATTAAAGCACCTACAAGCAGGTTCAGGGGCCAGGGGTTCAATCCCAGGCCTGCCATGCTGGCCCTGCCCCTGGGGCATGCTGAGCCAGCAATTAAGACTGGACGTGATGGCACATGTCTATAATCCCAGTTCTTGGGAAACTGTAAACAGGTGGATCACTACAAGTCCATCACTACGAGACCCTGAACACCCTTCTCTTAGAAAGAAAGAAAGAAAGAAAGAAAGAAAGAAAGAAAGAAAGAAAGAAAATAAATAAATAGCCAGGCTTGGGGCCGCACACCTGTGATTGCAGTACTCTGGGAGGCTGAGGCAAGAGCAGCCCAGCCTAAGCAACTAATGGAGACCCTGACTCAGAAAATAAAAAGGGATTGAGCTGCAGCTCTGTGGGAAGGTGCTGGCTTCAAAGCCCGGTAATACAAAGAAAAGGGAAGGCAGGAGGAGGCCAGGCAGCAGAGCAGCAGGAGGTGGGCTGGCCTCCCAGACCTGGTCCTATCCCAGCACATGCTGGGAGGCTGCAGCTGCTGGACTCGTTTTGGGTTGGAGGCCATTTCTTTAAAAAGTTGCACGTTTTCTGCTTTTTGAAAATAGCTAAACCCTTTCAGCTAGAGTATTAGTGACCCTAAGCTCTCTGATAAATGGAGACAGTGGGGTCAGTGGATGTGTCTGACCCTCACGGATAGGGTATGTTTCTCTGCTGGATGTGTCCGACCCTCACAGATAGGGTATGTTTCTCTGCTTGGGTGTGTGTGTGTGCGCTACTGGGGAGTGAAGCCAGGGCCTTTGCACTGAGCCACATGCCAGCCTTCTTATCATTTTGAAGTAGTCTCTCCTTGAGTTCTTGGGCTGGGCTTGGGCTTGGGGTCCTCAGGCCTTCGCCTTTCGGAGTACAGGTACGCAGCACCATGCCGGTCCGCTTGGTAGTTCGTGCCTTTGTTTTGCCTTCATAAGTGCTGACTGCAGTTACCTCTTATGGAAGCTGGGCTCTTCCCTGGTATGTGGAATGGAAAACTGGACAAGGCAGCTTGATGGGGACAAGGGTAAAGCTCGTTACCAACACTCACAGGTGAGGCTGCAGTGTGTCCAGAAGGTCGGAATGTGGCCTGGCCCCTCGGCACAGGAGGCCTAGTGGTGTGCCGAGCTCGGTGGGCTGGGCTGCATTGCAGGTGACCCCACCCTCAGGGGCGCTGGGGCTTAGGAAGGGAGGGCTCGGGGCTGCCTGAGCCCAGGGATTGATGGCGCACAGACGGCGGGCGATGGGTCAGCAGCTCCAGAGGGACAGACACCCCCAGGGGCATAGGAGACAGCCTTAGGTAGTGGTCACGCAGCAACACACGTAGGGCTCCGGCGCGCATACATGATGGCAGAGCTGGTGTGGAGCCCGTGGCCTAGGTGGGCTGGAGTTCACTGTCCCCTGATCCATGCGTGGCAGTTACATGCAGCATCTGGGTTGGGCACAGGCTGACAAACACAAAGGAACTGGGCTGGGTACAGGTCCAGTTAGCTGCTCAGGGCCGGCCATATGGAAGTCATGAGTGGAGGTGCCATGTGGGTGTGCATGACAGAGTTTGGGCTCTCGGGTGTGCAGAGCTGTGGCTGTGTGTGGACACTCAGCTGGGGTGCTGGAGGAAGGGTGGGTGTGGCCAGAGCAGTGGTGGGGGAGAGGTGATAAAAGTGGGAGGTCACCACCTGCAGGATAGCCATGAGTCCCCCTTCAGGCTCAGTGGTGACAGCCATTCTGCTCATGGGTCCAGGAGCTCCCAACTGTTCTCTGGGCTCCTGCCAGCACTGCCAGTCTGCTGGGACATCAGTGGCCCTCAAGGCATTTGCTACAGTGACAGAGTCTATGGTATATATGGTGGGGACACACAGGGGCAGGGGTCAGCCAGCCAGGGGGGCCCGTGGAATGGCTGGATCCAGGGCCTGTAGTTCTGAGAGTCACCTGTGAGGGAGATGACCTCAGGGCTGGACAGGTGATGTATTCTACACCCCATTGTGCTAGGGTTACTTGGAGCTTGTTCCTGTTTCTGATTTGGGCTTTGGCACACATGTTGTGTCTATCTGCTGCTGTCTCTCTAGGGACTTTGGGCCAGGCTGGGGGTGACACAGCCCAACTCAGCTACATGAGTTTGGGTTCCTGTGTGTCAGACATCAGCAAGTGGGTGGGGTTGCATAATGGTTGTAACATACTATGGTATGTGGTTTGCAGTCCCTGTTGGTGGCTGCTCCTCATGACTGTCCCTTTTCCTTTCTCAAGGGCTGTCCCCTCTGGCTGCTGTACCCCAGCCCATCCCTTGTATCAGTGCCTTCGAGCTGAGCCCTGCGGTCGCTGGAAGCCAAGGCCGGAGCACCTGTGTGCAGTGGCAGGAACACCATGGACTCCCGCCCTAGTGGGTATGCTTGTCAGGGGCCCCCAGTACCTTCCTGTGCGTGGCTGGCATTCATCACCTCCTCTCTGCGATGACTCTGTGGTAGAGAAGTCCCTCAAGTCCCTGAAGGACAAGAACAAAAAGCTGGAGGAGGGTGGCCCCGTGTATAGCCCAGCAACCCCAGTGGCAGTGAAGAAGTCCTTGGGGCAGAGGGTGCTGGATGAACTCAAGCACTACTACCATGGCTTCCGCCTGCTGTGGATCGACACCAAGATCGCGGCGCGCATGCTCTGGCGCATTCTGCACGGCCACACACTGACCCGCCGGGAGCGCAGGCAGGTAATGGGGCCGCTGGAGAGCAGTGCTGGGGCTTGCTCCTCACTGTTGTTCATAGTCAGCAACACCTGTGTGCCAGTCACTCTGCTGCCACCTGGGTGAAGTTCCTAGCTCCACCACTGGAAAGAGGGGAGGTCTGCTTAGCTCGGATTCTAGGGAGCTCAGTCCTAGGTTGCTGGGTCTGTGGCAGAGGAATGATGGAAGGGGGTAGAGAAGCAGGCAAGGGGGCTGTGGACACGGGCACACACCCTTGCATACCATGCACCATGCCCAGTGGCCTGCCCATTGCCCTGCAGCTCTCAGGAGTGGAACATGTAATCCTGTCCCCTTCTCGAGGCTACCTCTGGCACAGGAACCTTTTGGGGGACTCCTAAGCTCACAGCTTGTGGAGCAGAACTGGCCTGCCTGCTGGAGCTGGAGTCCCTTCCACCTCTGGCTCCCATGCTGTAAGCCCCGCCTGCACAGCTGCCGGCCCTGGCTTGCCCTCCCCAGAGCTGCAGCCAGCCTTCTACTGTGGCATTTGCTGTGCCCACTCTTGCTGCCCTCTGGCTCTGAAAAGGGTCTTCTTAAGTTGGAGTGGTTGCGTGGTTTTCCTAAGTTGGTACCTGGTGGTCCCAACCATTCAGGAGGCTGAAGCAGGAAGATGGTATGAACACAGCAGGTATGGCTAGCCTAAGCAATGCGGTGAGACCCACCTCATAAACAAAACAGGCCCCAAAGATTCTCCTGTCGTCTCAGGGCTGATGTTTTCTTTCTGTTTTGTTTACCCTTTTTTGCTGTTGTTGTTTTGTGTTTTGTTTTGGTGGAACTGGGGGTTGAACTCTGGCCCTTGCACTTGCCAGGCAAGTGCTTATTCTACTGAGCCATCTCCCCAGCCCCTTATCTTTTCTATAGTTGAAATAATCTGTCTGACATGTCTGTTGTGTGTTTGTTTGTTTGTTTGTTTTAATCTGCCTATTTGTCCATCTGCCTGCCTCCTGCTATTAGTGCTGGGTGTTGAACCCAGGTTGTACTGTCTACCACTGAGCTCCCGGCCCACCCCAGGGTTCCCTTCTGTGGTGGCCTTTACCCATTAGAAATTTTGTCTTGATTTTTTTCAAGCCAGCTGGGGACATAACTCAGCAGCATAAGTGCCTGCCTGGCAAGTGCAAGGTCCTAAGTTTGATCCCCAGTATAAAAAAATATATAAATAAATAAATAGCATGATTTTTTAAAAAACCAATTTATTTAATCTTTCTTGGTAGGGTCTTGTCCCTTTTTTTGAGTGTTTGATTCCCCCTCTTGCATCTTCCCCAACTCCGTATACATGCACTTCCTCACTGCGTATGGGGCTCCTTTTCTGGCCCCTGCTCCGCAGTGGCTCTTGCCCAGTGAGTGGCACTGCTGGGTCCTCTGGCTGAGGCCTGTCCAGGGGCTGTAATCTCCGGGGTGCTGTGGATTATGTGCTGAGCCGGCTGGTGCTATGTTGGCCCCTCTGGGTGTCATGGGATCCCGTGGGCCCCACAGTGCTGTCCTGGGAGAGCCTGGACCCACCTCTTGTGTGCCGCCTCTTCTGTCCCTCCCACGCCCCCTTTGCACACTTATTTCATCATCATTTCATTGCAGCATTGGGATCAAAGGCAGGAGTACTCTTATCATAAGATACATTCCCAGCCCATTTTATTTTATTTATTTGTTTTTGTATTTTAGGGAAGGGTCTACAGGGTGTTCAGGGTCTCACTACTAGATTGGACTTGTAGTGATCCGCCTGTTTACAGCCTCCCAAGAACTAGGATTACAGGCTCGTGCCACCATGCCCAGTCTCAATTGCTGTCTCAGTGTGCCCCGGAGGCAGGGCCGGCACAGCAGGCCTGGGGATCAAACCCCTGGCCCCTGCGCCTGCTTGCAGCTGCTTTAATCCTCTAAGCTACTTGGCCGGTCCTTCATTTTATTTTATTTTTTGAAACTTATTTATTTATTTGGGTCTTGCTATATAGCTTGGACTCAGTGATCCTCCTGTCTCAGCCTCCCCAGTGCTGGGATTACAGGTGTGCACCATCATGCCTAGTTTCAAGGCCAGTATGGCACACCCAGGGTTCACTGGCCAGAATGGCATGTGGCACTAGGGATCCAACCTAGGTCCTTGTGGTTGCCAGGCAGGTGCTTAGACTGCTGAGCTATCTCCCCAGCCCTGCCCTTTTTATTTTATGTTCTCCAAGGTTTTTGTTTTGTTTTCTTTGCAGAACCAGGGATTGAACTTGGGCCCTTGAGCTTGCCAGAGAAGCGCTTATTCCACTGAGCCATCTCCTTGGCCCCCTTTTTATTTTAAATTTTATTTATTTATTTATTTATTTACTTATTTACTTATTTTGGTGGAACCAGGGATTGAACTCAGGCCCTTGCGCTTGCCAGGGAAGCGCTTATTCCACTGAGCCATCTCCCCAGCCCCTTAAATTTTAAAACAGACTCTATTCAGGTGTGGTGGTACATACCTATGATCCTAGCACTCAGGAGGCTGAAGGAGGAGGATCATCTCAAGTCAAAGTCCAATCTGGACTGCACTGAGAAACTCTGTCTCAAGAAAACAAAAAAATGGGGCTGGGGAGATGGCTCAGTGGAATAAGCGCTTCCCTAGCAAGCACAAGGGTCTGAGTTCAATCCCCGGGTTCCGCCAAAAAAAGAAACAACAACAACAAAAAAAAAAACAAAAACAAAAAAATGTCTGACCAAGTTGCCCATATTGACCTTTAAGTTGTGGTTCTCCTGCCTTGGCCTCCCAAATAGTGTGTCACCATGACCGGATTGAAGTAAGCTTTTCACTGTGGAATAATTTATATTTATAGCGATCTAAAACATGCTGGGTAGATAGAGAAGGGCCAAGGTAGAGTTCCTTATTGCTAGGAGGGATTGTGGGCCCCACTTGGAGTATTGTGCTCTTGTCCAGAGCTCGGTGCTATCACATGACCTTGGGAACCTTGCTGGCACCTTGCTGTCCAGCCCTGGCAGTGCCATCTCTAATCTGTTAGTTCATGGCTTCTCCTGTAAGGGACTGCACAAGACCTGTCCTGTTTCCAGACAGATTGGTCGGCATGATGTCCTCAGACCCAGCTGTGCTGCAGGGTGCAGATGCTGGCTGCTAGGGACTGGATGTGAGGCCTGCTCACCCTACCTCTGCGTCTTGACACCGTCGTGCTGTATTGCTCATCTGCCCTGCCTAGGCTGGGCTGGACGTGGGATCCTCCTGCCTTAGTCTCCCAGGAGCTGGGATCATAACGTGCCAACTCACCGGGTGGCACTGTATGTGGTTTTGACTCTTGAGACTGAAATGGGTTTTAGGAGATGCATAGTACATAGATTTGGAATTTAGAGCTTGGGTCACCGTGCAGCTGCGCTGTCAGCGCTGACAGCCGTATCCCCCAACATCATCCCTGATGTGAGCCCGCCTGTCTCCAGTTTCTCCGCATCTGTGCTGATCTCTTCCGCCTGGTACCCTTCCTGGTCTTCGTGGTGGTGCCCTTCATGGAGTTCCTGCTGCCCGTGGCTGTGAAGCTCTTCCCCAACATGCTGCCGTCCACATTTGAGACACAGTCCATCAAGGTGAGAGTGGCCTGGCTGCAGGGCAGAATAAACCTGTGCTGTGTGGCATCTGCACTGGCAGGGGTGCAGGGGTGTGTGTGTGTGTGTGTGTGTGTGTGTGTGTATACTTGTGCATATTGTTGGGGACAGTTGTGGGGCCCTGGGCAAGTTGAGCAGTTATGTCAGACTGTAGGTTTCCCATCCATCCCCGTGGGACAGGTTTATCAGCCCCTGTTCTAGTAGCACAAGTATTACTATTATCATCATTATTATTTTACTGTAGTTTTTGTTTTTTTGAGACAGCATCTCACTATGTAGTTAAGGCTGAACTCGAATTCAGCAGTCCTCCTGCCTTAGCCTCCTGAGTGCTGGAATGACAAGTGTGTGCCACCACTCTTAGCACGTAAGTCCTGTATTAATAAACGGCGTGAGAAAGCTGGATATGATGGTGCAAGTCTGTAATCTCAGCGCTATGGGAGGCTGAAGCAGTAGGATTAAAAGTGGAGTCCAGGGCTGGGGAGGTAGCTCAGCAGTCTAGGCAACTGCCTGGCAAGTGCAAGGACCTAGATTCAGTCCCTGGTTCCGCGTGTGTCAGCCCCACCCTGAGTGCGCCAAGCTGGCCACCAAGACCGGGTGTGGTGGTGCATGCTTGTAATCCTAGCACTGGGGAGGCTGAGACAGGAGGATCACTATGAGTCTTAGCTGCATAGTAAGACCCTGTACCAAGTAAAAAAATAATAAAAATTTTCTTTTTTTAAATTTTTTTTTGGGGGGCCTGGCCCTAGCTCAGTTCTTTAAGTAGCTGCTTCCACAAAGCTGGCAGCCTCAGGATGCTGGAGTTTGATCCCCACAACACTCCAGAAAGCCAAACCTGCCCTGAAGGCATTCGGAGCAAAAAAGAAAAAAAAATTTTTTTTTGGCCGAACTGGGGATTGAACTCAGACCCTTGCGCTTGCCAGGGAAGCGCTTATTCTCCCCAGCCCCTAAAAAAGATTTTTTTACAAATGTCCCTAGGTGTAGGGACTCGTTGTTGTCTCATTGTACCCTGGGGATAAATGACAGCAGGAATAAAGAAAAGATAGACAGGAGAGAAGAGCTAGGATCAGGGGGAGGTCTGTTTGCCTGATGAGCAGAAGACCCCAAGAACAACAGTAGGAGCATTGATTTATACCTTTGCAGAGTTAGTATTAGGAGACGCAGGATGCCTAGCAACTAATAGCCAAATTGTCCAGATGGGGTGTTTTTCTCAAGACTGGGCCGGCTTGACTGCTTTAGGCACAGAGGCCTTGTCTTGCCTTCCCACATATTATCAGTGTCCAGCTTTGGCAGCTCCCAGCATCTTTCCCTTTGTTTTGTTGTGTGAATGATGGGTGTTCCATTGCAGTTAGAGAAGCTGTGTTTGAAGCATTCTATAGAAGATCTTTTTATTTTTTGACGCCAGTCCAAAGATTTTTGTTTATTTGTGCGTGGGGGGGGGCAGCTCAGCCCACCAGGGGGCGGGGCTGGCTGGCATGTGGTGCTGGGGGATTAAACCGCGCTCCCTGTGCTTTGCTGAGCTTGTTCTAAGTAGGTGCTTTAGACCACTGAGCCATCTCACCAGCCCCAGTCCAAAGATTTTTGGTAGCTGTACACAGCAATTTAACTCTGTATAGTCCAATAATCCATAACAGTAGTGAATTACTAGTACAGCTGCCAATTCTCAAACAAGTTGTTAGTAATTTGGACCTTTTACAACTAGCAGCTTTTTGCCATCTACCCACATCAGTTAAAACTCCTCAGGATTTACCTTGGAACCAAGTATAGCACCTCTTAGATCTTCTGTGAGTATCAGCCATCTGGATGAGTCAGGACCATTACTTGACCAAGTTGCTTTCTATGAAAGCTTTGGAGGTGTTTTGTTTTGTTTTGTTTGTACCAGGGCTCAAACTCAGGACTTTGCACTTGCAAGGCAGGCACTTAAACCACTGAGCTCTCTTTTCCCCAGCACATTTTTTGTCTTTTTGAGACAGTCTGGCTCTGCAGTTCCGGCTGGCCTTGAGCTCACTGTAGCCCAGGCTGGTCTCCAGCTCTCAGTGATCTTCTTCCCTCGGCCTCCCAAGTGCTAGGATTACGGGTGTGTGCCACCGTGACTAGTGAGATTCTTTTTTAAGCACACTATACATTGTTGATCATTTTCCTCTGTGACCCCATAACCTCCTTGATCAAAAAATCAAAGACTCAGCTGAGTTCCCGGACAGCACAGCAGAGGTTTTCTTATGTTTTGAGTCTTCGTTGACCTTGGAGGGCTAAAGTATTTACTGTCCTCCAGCCCATTTATCTCTAACTTTTGATCTCAAACCTCAGTTGTTAAGCTTCCGAGAAGCTTCGTGGCATTACCCTGCTATGCAGGAAATAAGCTCAACATTATTATCTGAATAGTAAACTTTTTAGGCATAAAATGAAACTTTTTTTTTTTTTTTTTTTTTTTTTTGCAGAACCAGGGATTGAACTCAGGTCCTTGTGCTTGCCAGGGAAGCACTTATTCCACTGAGCCATCTCCCCGGCTCCGAAACTTATTTTTAACAACCATGGATAGTTTAATATTTAACCCCCCATTGGGCCAGGGAGATGGCTCAGTAGAATGAGCGCTTCCCTGGCGAGCGCAAGGGTCTGACTTCAATCCCTGGTTCCATGAAAAAAAAAAAAATTTAACCCCCCCATACAATGTTAATGGAAAACAATTATATATTTTTACATAAAAATTTAGAAATCGAGGGAGACTACCCGCTCGGGCCCCCCTCCTGTCCCTCTCTCGGACAGGAGCTTTCTTTCCCTCAATAAATATATTCTGCTCATAACCTCCGTTTGTTCCTAAAATTCATTCTTCGGTTTTAGAGAACACGAGCTTGTGCAGGTCAGGCCTGGAGATCATTTTTAGGTCACCCACCTGAGATCAGTTTTTCTCCCTGTATCATTTTGGAGTTTCCCACCGAGATCACTGGACGGAGGTATGAGTTAGCTTTTCTTTCATAAATTCTGGATTGGGACTTGCTTAGGTAACAAATTTTTCCCACCCTGCGTCCACCTAAGCGAGTTCCCATTCTCTCCACCTTACCCCGCATGGTTTTACACTATAAAAGTCCCTGGAAGAGACAGCTTCTGGGGAGATTACCGGCTCGGGCCCCCCTCCTGTCCCTCTCTTGGACAGGAGCCTTCTTTCTCTCAATAAATATATTCTGCTCATAAAAAAATAAATAAAAATAAAAATTTAGAAATCACTGCTTAGGTAGGCGCAGGAACCTGCGTTCAATCCCCGGCTTGTCATGCCTCCCCCACCCTGGGGGCACACTGAGACTGAATGTGGAGGTGCACACCTGTCATCCCAGCCCGTGGGAGGCTGAAAACAGAAGCATCACAGATTCCGATCTGTCTAGTGAGACCTTGTAGACCATGTACTAAATACATGTTTTTAAAAAAAGAAATTTAGAAATCAAAGCCATACATAACTTTGCAGCATGACAATTGTGATGACATTGTGTGATATACTTAAATTTTTATTTTGACATAAATAGCCCTTTTAACCAATATCTCGCTTTTTTGGGAGGAGGGGAAGTACCAGGGATCGAATTCAGGACTTTGCACTTGCCAGGGAGCATAAGATTTATCTTTTTTTTTTTCCTAGTGTATTTAGTACAGGTGCACAGGGACTCACTACACAGCTCAGACTCCTAGTGATCCTCCTGTATTCGGCCTCCCCAGTGCTGGGATTACAGGCATGTGCCACCATACCTGGACTTAATTGCCATCTCAGTGTGCCCTGGGGGATTGAACGGGTCCCTGTACGTCTGCCTCAGCAGGCACTTTAATCCACTGAGCTCTCTGGCTACCTGTTTTATGTTTTTTTTAGTGACCAAGTTACTGGATGTGTCTCAAGAGACTATAGAGATTATTGGGGACCCCTTATCAATAAACAGTGGTTGGCCACCCTTCTGTTCACCAATTGGAGTCCTGTCCAATCATCTTTTCCCACCCCAGGCAACTTGGACCCTGTCTCAAAATAAAGAGTAAAGGGGACCTGCTGCTTAGCTCAATTGTTTAAGAGCCTGCTTACGCAAACGCAGTCAGGCGCAGGATACCAAGGTTTGATCCCCAGCTACACATGCCTTACCAGACCCACCCTTAAGGCAGCCTGAGCCAAGCAGAAAAAAAAAAGAAAAAAAAACCCTCCTCAAAATAAAGAGTAGGGGGCTGGCGAGATGGCTCAGTGGTCTAAAGCACCTACTTGGAACAAGCTTGGCAAAGCACAGGGACCGCGGTTCGATCCCCCAGCACCAC